TGAAACATCACTTGTCTGGAAAACGAGACGTGTCGTAATTAGATAAATTTTGATTGATGAATTTTTTGTTGTGAAAATTCTAATAATTTTAACAATTTTCAAAATATTAGTTTGTGGAGAACTATCGGATACTTTGAAAATTAGTATTGGTTCGAAACAACAAACTATTTATATATAAAGATACTTGCTTAACATGGTTCTGTCATTTTTTTTCACTTATTCTAACAAAAGTCCACCTGATAATTCAAATTTCTTATTCTTTTTAGTTTTTTGTTGTTGTTGCTATTTTTCAATTGAAAGTTGGACAAAAAACAACATCTAATGGTGATTGAACTTCACTGTAGTAGTTTCCCTTTCTTGTTTGTTGCATTTTCTTTTCAAAATTTGCAGAATAATACCTCCTGTTTGAAAATTGTTTGAATTAAGCTGAACCATCAGTAAAATAATGGAGCAAACAATGAATATTCACCTCCTATATGAAAGGTACAATACCTATACCAATTTCCAAGTAAGTTGTCTCTATATCTAAGTATTTTGTATTCTCTCTAGCAATTTTTAATATTTTCAAAAATTTTAAAATTTGGGAAGGAACAATTTCTTCTTTATATTTCATTATCAAGGGCTGTTTGAGAATTCAAAGCTGAGCCATTTCCTTTCAATATTTTCCAAAAGACACCAATGAATAATAGATTCCTTATACTGATATCCTCTTGACTTATTAGTGATATTTTCTAAAGTATTTAATAGAAAAATTGTTGTTCATGCAGTTTTTCATCATCACAAGCAGCAATCACCAATTAGACAAGCTTGTGATGATGAAACATTTGAACAAATGTAAACTTTATCGCTCAGATTTTTAAAATTGTTTTAAAAAAATGAGCAAACGAAACAGACAAGATTTTGAAAATCATCAATTCATTAATTCGGAGGAGATATTCACTAATAATAATAATAATAATAATAATTTGGAAGAGAAAGCAAAAAAAATTGTGAAACTCGATCAAGAAATATTTTCGGATGATGTTTGTTTTGAAATAATTTGCATGATTGATGATTCGTGGTTTATTTTGAATAATTGTTCCTTGATTTCAAAACAATTCCTTTCTGTGATCAAGGAACGTTCAAAACTTGTTATTCAATTTAAAAAAAAATTTGCATTGAAGAGAATTGAATTATTCAGGAAGAGTCAATTTATGAATTGTATTGTTAATGTTAAATTTTCTAGTTGGACGCTTGATGCATTTGAACAACCCAAATTCATAAGTGGAATGAAACAATTGACATCAGTTGATATTTCTGGCAATCGAATTGGTATAGAAGGAGCCAAATCAATAAGTGAAATGAAACAATTAACATCACTTAATATTTCTAACAATATAATTGGTGTTGAAGGAGCCAAATCTATAAGTGGAATGAAACATTTAACATCACTTGATATTTCTGGCAATCGAATTGGTGATGAAGGAGTCAAATCTATAAGTGAAATGGAACAATTAATATCACTTGATATTTCTACGAATGTAATTGGTGGTGAAGGAGCCAAATTCATAAGTGAAATGAAACAATTGACATCACTTGACATATTTTACAATCGAATTGGTGGTGAAGGAGCCAAGTTAATAAGTGAAATGAAACAATTAACATCACTTAATATTTCTACGAATGAAATTGATGTAGAAGGATCCAAATTAATAAGTGAAATGAAACAATTAACATCACTTAATATTTCTGGCAATCTAATTGGTGTAGAAGGAGTCAAATCTATAAGTGGAATGAAACAATTAACATCACTTAATATTTCTGGCAATCTAATTGGTGATGAAGGAGCCAAATTGATAAGTGAAATGAAACAATTAACATCACTTGATATTTATAACAATCGAATTGGTGATGAAGGAGTCAAATCTATAAGTGAAATGAAACAATTAACATCATTTGATATTTCTAACAATCTAATTTATGATGAAGGAGCCAAATCTATAAGTGGAATGAAACAATTAACATCACTTACTATTTCTAACAATCGAATTGGTGGTGAAGGAGTCAAATTCATAAGTGAGATCAAACAATTAACATCACTTAATATTTCCAAGAATGAAATTGATGGTGAAGGAGCCAAATTCATAAGTGGAATGAAACAATTAACATCACTTACTATTTATAAGAATGGAATTGGTGATGAAGGAGTCAAATCTATAAGTGAAATGAAACAATTAACATCACTTGATATTTCTAACAATCGAATTGGTGATGAAGGAGTCAAATCTATAAGTGAAATGGAACAATTAATATCACTTGATATTTCTACGAATGTAATTGGTGGTGAAGGAGCCAAATTCATAAGTGAAATGAAACAATTAACATCACTTGACATTTCTGGCAATCTAATTTATGATGAAGGAGTCAAATCAATAAGTGAAATGAAACAATTAACATCACTTAATATTTCTGGCAATCAAATAGGTGTTGAAGGAGCCAAATTCATAAGTGAAATGAAACAATTAACATCACTTGATATTTCTAAGAATGAAATTGGTGATGCAGGAGCCAAATTCATAAGTGAAATGAAACAATTAACATCACTCGATGTTTATGCCAATCGAATTAGTGATGAAGCAAAATTATTAACATCACTTAATGAATTCTATATTTAATCTCTCTCATATCTAGTAATACTAACATAATATACTTTTATATTCCATAATTTAATATGAGTTTCCTCTACCAATCTCGAGGTCTTTGCAGGCTGATCTATAAGGAGTTAAATATTTGAGTGAAATGAGTTCTGCTTGATATTGGTGGAAGTGAAGGAGCTAAACACGTTAGCGAAATGAAACACTTGACTGATTTGAATATTTGTTTTATTGGAAATGAGAGT